ACGCTCTTCTGCCTCTCTACCACCGCTCCCAGACTCCGATGTGTAGCGATTCAGATTATTTCCGACTTCATTTGAGCCCTGATGGCCGAAATTCCCGGAATTACTGGTGTCCGAAGACAAATCCCCGGGGATGTCAGGGATCAGCGAGGTTTCCATGTCGGAGGGAAAGTCGAAGAAGTCATCTGGAAGATCAATGGGAAAATCAAAATCACCATTCTCTTCGAGAAAGGGACCCAGTTCAGATCCTTGGGCTTCCATTGAAATCGGATCGGAATCCGAGAAGAACAGGGGATCAAGCGGCGGGAAAAGTGGGTTGTTGGATTCCGACAAAAAAATCAGGATCAGGATCGGGCATCGCCGGCTGTAGGGCGATCAATGATTCTGTCATCACCGATGTTAGGGTTTTTCCGCGGTTAAGGAAGAAGAAGACGACGACGACGACCGAAAAGACCACGAGAGTATACCGTGTGGTTTAAGGAAACCCAAATATATATTCCCGACGTGCCTCCAGCGCGTGCATTTCAGTTTTCTAATTCTTCTTTTTCGGCCCACAAATTTCTAAGTCTTCCATTCTGGCCCATTGTGTTTTTTGTGCTGTTGAACAACATCAAATAGTGTGATAATTTCACAAGCTTATGGTTTTTAAGTATTTAAAAAGAAGTTATTCTTTATCATAAAAAATAAAAAATTATCTGTAAAATAATTAGAAATAATTAACTATAATGAAAATAGATCATACGAATTTAAAAGATATAGTTATTCTATTTTCCATCTCTTGTGCCCATTATTTCATAGCATCTTCTTTTGCAAGTGGATTTGGTAGGTGAGTATAGTGGTAATCTTGTAACATAGAAGAACAATTCAATAGAACAAAAAAATAATTAAAAGTAGAAACAAATAAGAAAAATAAAAAATACAGTATCAGTTTATTTGTAATTTCTAACATGTTTCAATACCACTAAAACAATTATTAATTATTTTAAATAGTTTATGTAAATATTTATTCATTAAAATAAAACTAATGTCATTTTTTCCGAATGATTGTTTTTTTTATTTTATTGGATAATTTAAGGTTTTTCTAAAGAAAAATTGTGAAAATCAAATTAAGACACGGCAATTATTATTTATTATCCATTTATATTATAATTACATTTAAGATAATAAAAACATCTCAAGGGCTGTAAACTTTTCTCCTCTCCCACTTGTTGCGAGAGAGGGAGAGGCCGAGGGTCTTTTTCTCTCTTACACCCTCATGGATTTTGGATTTGGATCGATCCTCTCTTTCTCGCGATGCTAATCCGAAAATTTTCCTCCTTTTCATCTCCTTCTTCTCCGTGAAATTTCTTCCTGTTTCTCTTATCTTTCTAAGAGAGAGAGAGAGAGAAGGAAACAAGAGCGAGAAGGACCGAGGAAGAGAAAGAGAGAAGCGCCATGGCTGCTCTGGGCGAGAAGGAAGCAATGGTGGATCCATTTTTGGTCGAGGCTCTTCAGAACCCTCGTCATCGTCTGACCAGTTAGTGAATTCCTGATTTTCTCGCGAGCCCCATGATTCAATGTTTTATCTTTATTCGTGGGTTGATCCGATCTTCGATATCTCGTTTCTCGGTAGTCATCTAGGGTTCGTTACGGGATTGCTGGATTTTGGGTTTTCTCTGGTTAGCGCATCCTTGTTAGGGTTTTCAACTATTTGTGCCCATTTCCGGTTTCAGTTTAGGAATTAGGGTTCTTTGTGCTACTTGACGATAGATCCATGACTTTTGATCTTATCATGATCATCATTTCCTCTCAGCTCAACAAAGAACAAAGCTTAACTATGAGAGCTTGTTACATCTGTGGCGTTTTCTCTAATTCAAAATGATATTCAGTGTTCTTGGAGAAACGAACTCTACTCCTTTCCAGAACCTTGTTTGTGAACATATGTGATTGGTTTTTACCTGATGGCTATCAAAAGTTTAACCTTTCTGTTCAATATTTTCTTTTTGATCTAGTTATTTCATAGAAATGGCTGAATCTGTAGATATTTGCCAGTATATGAAGTCAAAATGTGATAGATTTAAGTATTCTTTCGTTATCTTAAACTCTTTGTTTGATCTGTGGTCGTTTACCAGTTTTGCGCATGGAATTTGAAGTACAGAGGTTCTTGCAAAATCCTGAGCAGCAGCAGTTCGAGTTTCAACATTACCCGACATCTTACCTTCGGCTTGCAGCCCATCGCATTGCTCAGCATTATGGACTTGTAACCATGGTTATGGACAGTGGTTCAGATGGCTCGGGGAATGGAATTCTCGCAAGAAAAACTGCAGAAAGCAGACACCCTTTGGTTTGCCTGTCTGAAATTCATGCTAAGCAGCCAGGGAATGATCAACCCGAGGTTCTGAAAATCGCAATCAAGCCTAGACCTAAAAGAGGATCTGGTGGTGAAGGCACTAGAACGGGAGTGCAGCGCAATATTACGAGAAGTGTGGAAGAGAGAAAAGAGGAGTATGATAAAGCTCGAGCTCGTATATTTAGCAGCCCTAGCAGTTCGGATTCTGAAGATTCTTCATCACAAGCTTCCCTTGATGGAAAGCATACATGTCTTAATGGAAATGGAGCCGATGTGGTAAGGAATCTTTCGGTTGATGCGGAAAAGAACCTTACTTTCGGGGAATCTGGAGGGCCATCTAGGGTTGCCATCATAAGAGATAGAGAGAAGGATCGTTTTGATCCTGACTATGACCGGAGCTATGGGAGGTACGTAAATATAGTTTCCGAGTACAGGAAGCTTTCCATGTCTACAATGGCTGTGTAAACTTTTCTTTTTAAGCATCCAATCCATAACCTGAACTTTATATAAGCATGATGAGAAAGATAATAACACCATTAGCATTGAATCGATGCAGGTATGTCAGGATCATGCCATCGGGTCAAAATTTCACCCCGACCCCAATCCAGCTACCGTTTCACGAGGGGTTATTCCCACAGATCCCGATAACTCAAGCTTCTCCAAACTTTCATTACCCCTTGAATCCGCACCTAACGGTAAATCCGCCTCCGAGGGGTGCATCTACTCATCACACACCGTGGCCAAACGCTGCAATGATGTATGCACATTCATACGGGCAGTTCAGACAGACTGCTTTTCGGGTAATCCACTCATCCTAGTTCAGTTTTCTCCCGAGATTGATCAATCTCCTTCCTTTTCCTTTGTCTGATTTCAATCTGAAATACCTGCAGGCGCCATTCTGCCAGCAACCACTGAGCTTCGAGTACATGCAGAATCGGTAACGTTTATCCTTTTTGTATGCAGATTTATGGGTTAGGGTTTAGGAACTTTCGATCTGTTTTTGAATCCGTTGTTAGCCGATTTTGAGACCTTATGCAGACATCTTCTCTTATGCTATTACAGAACCCAGAAGACTAATCATCATAAACATGGTTTATGGTTATGGTCTTGTCTTGATTCTTTCGAATACTTTGAATATGTTGTTGTTGTTTGACTTTGTTTCCACCATGTCTTGGCTTCTCATTTACTCCTCCATTGATGGATGCTTCTCGTAGATACAGGTAGTTTCCCAGAATTCTCGACACATAAAAAGGTGAAAACTTTTGCAATGGTGAATAGATAGATGGGTTAATTATTATAATTTTTAATGAAATCTAAATAATTAAATTTAAACATAAGTAAAAAAATGTATCCGTAGCCAACAGAAACCAACTAGAATGGCAATCTATGTCTGAGTTTCTAGTAACTTAATACAACCAAAACTATTATGTTGCTTGCACATTTCTTGTAATGAGGTTTAGGACATAAAGTTTGGATTTGGATTTCTTGTAATGAGGTTTAGGACATACAGTTTGGATTTGGAGTTAATGAATGATAGTAATAAATCTTTGTGACAATAATGGATTCAGATCATGACAGCTACTAACCCAACCCACCACCATGCTTTTAGTTGATACCCCACCAAGAGAATCATATAATAATTTTAGTTTCATCATTATTATTCATAATTTTAATTGCCCCTTTATTTGGGCCCAAAAAACATATGCAATATATCACATAATTTCTTAGATTGGTAAGCATCAGATCCTGGCTTTTCTGGTTTCCACTCTTTTGTTTGTTGCTGTGTCCGTACGGTGTATAAGTGCCTCAATGTCCAGTGCCTAACCCACAAGCTGTACATACACACACACATGTGTATATATATATATATGCATGTACATATAACCAGATCTGGATCTCTTTGAATCATAGATCCAAGTATAGGAGCCTAGCAAGAACAAGATATGGTAAGAAGAGGAAGCAAAAAGAACGTGATGAAGTGAGTGATCGAATAACAGAATGTTCTGTTCTGGTCGACTTCACGGAGTGACGTCACTGAGTTAACTCAGTTACCATAGAATCATACATACTGAAACAGAACAACCAATGGACGCATATGCAGAGACACCAATTTCCAGTTCAGGAACTGACATAAACATTGCGAGCTCTATGCCATTCAGACAAGGACCAAGAACCAGAACTCTCTTCTGTTGAGGATGTCTGACCAAATTTTTTTACCACAGATTCAATCGTCTCGAGGTGGGAATAGAGTCAGTACCGTCCTTCCTCCATTGGCGTTAGCAGATTCCAAGTCCTCTCCGTAACTATTAGCCACTGTACTGTGCAATGCCGCACCCATTCTATGACCTTGTTGCTGCGTCTGCCGAGCCGCCAGGAACGAATGCTCGAACTGCCCGTTCGTCGGAGAACCAAAATGGGTCATTTGCCGGTGGTGGAAGTGCGGAGGTTGCAGGTGGGGATTGGCTGTGGCTGTGGCGGTGGCAGCCATCTGCTGCTGCTGCTGCAGCATCGCCATTGGGACAAAAGCAGGCATGAAATGGTCCGAACTCGGTCCCCTTGTCGGATGCAAGAAATGGGCAGGCACTGGAGAACTAGCGAACAAATTATCCATCGCTGGATCCGACACAGCTCCGCCGCTGCCGCCGCCGGAGGACAGACCCTGCATTCTCTTGAGGTACAAACGGTACTTCTGCAGATGGCTCGCGACGTTCTCTCTGGTCAGACCGTCGACGCTCATCATCTGCATGATGGTCTTCGGGACAGCGTTTTTTATGCCGAGATGCGCGACCGCGTCGACGAACCGCTTGTGCAGCTGCGGCGTCCAGACGAGACGCGGCCGCTTCAGCGTCCGAGCTGGCTCGTCTCCGGCGGCTCCGGAACCCAGATCCGCCGAGTCGGCCGCGAACTCGGCGGAGGAGTTGGCCTGGGACGACGGCGGCGGAGGCTGCAGCGTCGCGGATGGCGGGTGACCTTGACCGGAATCGCTGTTAGGGCTTCGGATATCGAAGGCGAGGGCGAGATCAGGAGTGATTAGAGACTGCGACAACGGCATGAGCTCCTCCGGTGATGGAAGCTCTTCTTCCCATCTGGCGAACCAGTTGGATTCTTCCTCTCTCATTCTGGGAAAAACAAAACTCAAATTCACCAACCGATCTGACAAACCCGGACAAATGTTCGACGGAAGCATCCGAAAATCGACGGAATCAAAGAAAAAACTCACGGAAAGGTACTGTCTTTTTGGACCCCAGACCCGCCGAGTCGGCCGCGAACTCGGCGGAGGAGTTGGCCTGGGACGACGGCGGCGGAGGCTGCAGCGTCGCGGATGGCGGGTGACCTTGACCGGAATCGCTGTTAGGGCTTCGGATATCGAAGGCGAGGGCGAGATCAGGAGTGATTAGAGACTGCGACAACGGCATGAGCTCCTCCGGTGATGGAAGCTCTTCTTCCCATCTGGCGAACCAGTTGGATTCTTCCTCTCTCATTCTGGGAAAAACAAAACTCAAATTCACCAACCGATCTGACAAACCCGGACAAATGTTCGACGGAAGCATCCGAAAATCGACGGAATCAAAGAAAAAACTCACGGAAAGGTACTGTCTTTTTGCTTCTGATGCCAAACCCAGATGAGGTAAAAGACGAAAGAGGTCAACCAACAATCAGTGAAAAATTCGGTGGAGATGCAATCCGAATTTAACAAAGAACCGAATTGGATCTTTCCTAGTTTAATTTCAAGAAGAAGAAGAAGAAGGGACTCAGGAGACTGAGGACGAAGGAATGATGGAGAGAGGTTCGAGGTGGATCTTTTCAGCTTTTGTCTCTAATCTACGATGATGATGATGAATGACGACGACGACGACGATGATGGGGTTCTACAGTACTACTATTTGCATACATTACTGTGTGGATTCTATGTTTGATTGGTTGGGAGATTTCACTTTCAAATTTGTAGCTAAATATTATAATTCTTACTTTTTAAAAATTAGATTTTATATCGATACGTTAATTAAATGATACGCGATTCACAGACCCTTTTAGACAAATAAAATAAAGAGCATAGGAAAATTGACAAATATATATAATAAAAGAAATTAAATAAAAATATCCAATAATTGTACAGATTCTCTCTCTCTCTCTCTCCAAGTATCATTACTAATCTGGACCTCATTATTAATGACTTCGAGGGGGCAGAAACCCAGAGGTGAAAGATCTCTCTCTCTCTCTCTCTCTCTCTCTCTCTCTCTCTCTCTGTGGACAACACAAAAGTACCTTGATTTCGATCGGGTCGGTTTCTTCTTGAATCAGTGGATTGCGGGTTTGATTCCTTGCTTCTATCTGCCTTGTCTGGGTTTGTGTTCTCTTTAGATTTTCTTCGATTCGTCGCGTGTAAACTAGGATCCGATTAGGTTGCAAGAGTTCTCGGTCGAAAACCCTAGAGTCTAATCGCACAGAATTTGTCATTCTAGGGTTTTCTTGAGTTCTTTGATTATCCTTTGTTCTCGCGTTCTTTCTTTGGATGTGTTTCGCTTCACATTTGCGTGAATTTACCTTTCTTCATGTTAATTCTACCTATGAGTTGGGTCTGATTTAAGCATTGCTTCATGCATCTTCCGGTTAATTCGCTACCTGAGTGTTCATCATAACGCCCGTATGAACATTTTCGTCTTCTCTTTTGGGCATGGATACGATGAATTTGCTTATATGTTGTGTTGTCTCTTGTCTCTGGTTAGAGCGTATTTGTTGTATTTAGATATATCAGTGGAATGACATATTCGTGTTGGATGATTTAGGTCTTTCTTGGTTTGTGGCAATCTTGTCAAACTGAGTCCAGAAAGTCGGAAGAAGATTTCAGCTCATTATTTACAGTGGTTCCAAGAACTCCCCTAGTTAAAGAACTTTTTTCGAGGATCGTTTCTGCTTAGCCATGGTGATTTTTCTGTCTCTAAAGTGACTTCACTTCCATTTGTGATTCACTAGCATGATTTTTGTTTCTTCATTTGATGGTGCTATAATACCTTTCTTCTCAGGCAAGCAACGAAAATCTTCCACCGAATGTTGTCAAGCAACTCGCTAAGGAACTCAAGAATCTTGATGAATCCCCTCCAGATGGCATCAAAGTCATGGTGAATGACGAAGATTTTTCAACAATATATGCTGATATTGAAGGCCCAGGTTCACTATCGATCTTTGCCGTCGCAGATTACGAAAATGAAATACTGGAAACTAAGATTTTCTTCCTTGATTACTTGCAGTTGGGACCCCGTATGAGAATGGCGTTTTTCGCTTGAAGTTGTCCTTGTCACACGACTTTCCTCATTCTCCTCCTAAAGGTTTGTTCGTTATGCACATCTTTTAAGACAGACATATTAATCCGTAGTGAGATGATTTCTTAGTTTTTTTCCTGATTTCTGAGTTGTTTGTAATGTAAGGTTACTTCCTAACGAAGGTTTTCCATCCTAATATTGCAACCAACGGAGAGATCTGTGTTAATACGCTTAAAAAGGATTGGAACCCAACTCTTGGATTACGTCATGTACTCACTGTAAGATCCATGAGCCTTCTGTGCTCCCTTAAGATTAATCTCTGCTTTTAGTTTCCGTTTTTTCTCATTTTTTTTTCTGTCAACAGGTAGTGAGGTGCTTACTGATCGAACCATTTCCGGAATCTGCCCTAAATGAACAGGCAGGCAAGATGCTACTTGAAAAATATGATGAATATGCACGTCATGCTCGGTGAGTTACCTCATACACGGTCTCCTGCTGCTTTGTGTTGATTGCATTGAGGGAAACATTGTACCTTCTGGGTTCTAGCTTAGTGCTTTACTGCCAAGAAATGAAATACTGAAGTAATTTGGTATATGCTATCATTTGTAGGCTTTACACTGGTATCCATGCCAAACCAAAACCTAAATTCAAGACAGGGGCTATCTCAGAGTCTATGACGGCTCTAAACATTGACCAGACTAAAACAACTGTCGACCAGAACAACGAGATGCCTAATGGTGCGAATCCGATACTTACTTTAATGGCAGACATCAAGAGAGCAACAACTAGCGGCCAGGACCAACAAGTGGCAAACCCGGTCGGAGCAGCCCCTTCAGGATCCATAACTGTATCAGGAAAAGCAGTATGTACGCATAAAAAGGAAGCGGGATTGGCCAAGGTTCAGGTGGAGAAGAAGAAAGTAGATGCCCGAAAGAAAAGCTTGAAGAGACTGTGACGCTATGTTAGTATCTCAACTCTCCCCCAAACTGTTGTTTTGATTTCATAGGAGGGCTCTCTGTTTGTCTGTGACGATTACTGTCATTGTGGGGAATAAAGTTAAAAACACAGAAGGCCATGACAAGAGTGACCTTGGTATAATCTTTCTGCAATTCTTCTGTACACATCATGATGAACTAGAGTTACAGAAAACAGACGGATGCTGTACTATGAAAGACCCTTCTTCACGGTAAATGCTTGTGTAGTTCCGGTTGAGGCAGGAAGAAAGACGGATCAAACTCGGGAGAATCATCTCCAACCTTCTTCAATCTGTCATCATGAATGTCATTGTGATCTAAGGTTCGCATTGTAGAGGCAAGCATCTTCTTACTCTCGTCCTTACTTAGCATGTCGCCTCCTATTTCGATATCGTATTTCCTGTTTGTGCTAAAGTCTGAATCGAATTCAGACATGACAGATACAGTTGTCATATCTTCATAATCCGGTACCCATGCTCGGAGGTTTATCTGTGAAGGTGGGATATTGGTGAACAAGACTTCCTTGAGATTCTTCAGTAGCCCTTTCTTGTAAGGGTTTTCCTTCCTATCGTAACGGTACCTGAAATTCTCGTATGTTGTCTGCATAAAGGCAAGAACTTTCTTACCTTACAGAGGTTTGTAAGCTATTTTCTCTTACGAATTGGCTCAAAGGTAAGAACTTTACCTGGTTTGTGGAGATCAGATAGAAATGGAAAACTGTAAGACCACCCACGAACCAGACAACAACGAAGGTATAGACAATGAGAATGACAGAGACTATATCATGGGCCATGATCCTCCATAATCGGCCTGGCTGCCGGAGCAGATTGAACCACGAGAAGACGAACACATATATGCACAACAAGGTTGAGCATGATATGAAACAGATGAAGAACGGGTAATTCCGCTGCAAAAGAGGTCACACCCGGGAATACTCTCACTGTTATTATGAAGCATGGTCTCGAAAAACAGGGGTAGATAAAGGAAGATTCAAATCTATACACTTACCACTGCAATACACTGTCCTACCCAAGGACAGTGGTGATCAAAGCGTTGGACACAGTTGTTGCAGATGGAACAATGAGAAGCTCGTGGTGGACGGTACAACAAACAAGTTTCACAGAACTTCACTTTGATGGTGTTGCCGTTAACAAACACATCTTTGGTCTTCGGTATCTTGAGGTTTGGTGTTTTGCTGTTCACCCATTCCTTAGATTGTGTCATGTAACCATCTGAACTGTCATCATCCATTGCAGGTGGTTGCTTATTCCTGGGGATGATTCCTGGATCTCTAGACGATGTTAACAAGAGAAATGTAAAATCCTGCAGGGACCAGAGACAGGAAGAGATAGATAAAGCATAAAGGGTTTTAACTGAGATGGATCAAAGAGGGTTTAGAATCTGTTTTACCAACCAAGAATGTGAGGACAAACCCACAGGTCAGGACGGGATAGTTGAAGGATGGGTCACCATTTCTGATCCATACAAGCATCCTTATGCAGAATGTAAGTGCAGGAGCTCCGATCAGGAGCGAGGTTAGAAACAGAGATGATGCATCCGGACCGAAGATTAGCATTCCACCACAGCAAAATATCTGACGCAACAACAAACAGCAAAAGATCATCATCACCTCTGGTTTTCTAAGAAATGTACAGTAGTTGGAATGAATACCAAACAGAACATCTGATGAAGAATGCAGCATTTTGACTGATCTCTGGTATGAGTATTCTAAGGCTAAGTTCAGAAAATCTCCATTCTTCTTCTTCTCAAATAACACTCTCCATTAGCATATCTGAGTTTAGTACAATAAGATAAACAATACATTTTTCTGTACCTTGATTAAGCCACGCATCATTTGAATATATGCATGTTTTTTCACCAAGGAATCCTCATGAAAGATATGCAGCTTCATATCATCAACAATCATGACACACACATGGCAAAACCAAATCATCCACGTTTTTCTCACGTAAACAAACATCAAGCTGTTCATATATATGATGATATTGACGATGATGGAGAAGAAAGAATATTTACATTGTTACCCTTCCATGCTTTGTAGGCTCTGATTTGGGAGATGGGTTTGGAAGTGGAAGCAGACATGTCCAAATGATGATCAGAGGGAGGAACACAATGGACCTGACTGTTCTTTTTCTTGCTCATTCTCTCTCTCTGCATCTTCTTTCACCTGTTTGTCCCAAAATCCCACATGAAACCTGACATCAAACCGTCTTTCCTGTCTCTGTCTCCTAATTCTCTCTTCAAATTCTTAAACTTTTCTCTAGATTCTTTTCTGGGTATCAACAGAATCAAACAAAGAAATGTGGGTTTTGGGGATTTCTCTCTTCTTCTTCTTCCTCCCCTAATTAGCTCTCTCTCTCTCCCCCCCTAAGAGATTTGTCTGATGGCTGTTTCGGTATTCTAATGATTTCCAAAATTTCCGCGAGGTTGACGCTAATATATTCTGGCAATAAATTTAGGAGCAAAAGTTTCAAAAGAAATGGATAAAGGGGAGGAAAAATCGGAAGGATAAACTTCATTACAATGTTTTTTTTTTTAATCTCAATGTATATCGTATCTTGACTAGATTCTTTGTCGTTGCAAGATATTTGCCCACTCAAATTAGATAGTGTGTTTTTCATCTTCATGTAAAAAAATGTACATCATTTATTTATTTATTTATCATTGTTGTTGTTGCTGTTGTTAGATTTATCTAAAATTTTAAATAAAAAATACAAAAGAAAACTAAAGTAAAAGGGAGGAAAATAACATTATCTGGAAAACAATCAAGAAAAAAAAAGATTCATGAAGAGGTGAGATGATGAGAATATTCATCGCTTCCAATCAACTGCCACTCCTCCATGAAAACAAGCAATTTAATCAAACGTGGAAGCAAATATTTTGCAGATCTTTTCCTCAAAAACGCAAAGAAAAAGGCGAATCCCCACGTAAACATCGTTGCTGTTGCTTACTTTATATAGATCCTTTTGTTCTCCTCCTGTTTGCTCCTTACCCATTTCGTGCCTCGTCTCGGTCAACTTGTTCTTTTCGCTGATTCCAGGTTTTCTGTTCTTTGATCTCTCTCGTTCTGTAATGGGTCTTGCGCTACTGTATTCGTCTTTTGTCTTTGATCTTTAATTTCGTCGTCGCCTGTGTCGTGTACCTGTTTTTGGTTCTTTTCTGTCCTATGTGTCTTTGCCTTGGACTTTATTGTCTTTTGTCCTCGTTCTTGACTGTGTTCTGCTTTTACGTCTCAATGGCTATTGATTGATTTCTGTAATGATGTTCAATTTGACATGCGTAAGATGGGCATTTTCACTTGTTTTTCTGAATTAAATTCTTTAATTCCACGTTTCGGAGAAGGGGTTCGCCTAAACGATCAGACATGCTCAGTTTCATAGTTTTCAATGTGTAAGGCATGTAAGAGATTAAGCTTGGCTTTTCAGTTGGGCAAATGAAAGAGTGATTGGCGAGTTCTGTCTGTTTAGTTTCAGAAACTCAAAAGTTACAATGACACTTGAGGCTGCTCAGCCTCTGAAGCAAACCATTGATTTGAATCGATCCACTTAACATGGCTCTAAGAAAATTCATTGAAACAGGATAGCATTACTCAAATAGATCATCTTCCTGTATCTATAGCTCTTGATCTGTGCATGGCTTCCTATCATGGCCTTGATCTGTTTTGTCCAAACCTCGTGGTTAACCTATATCGGTTTCGATAACTATGAGCAAACTAGGCTGTCTCATTCTAGTATGGTGAATACTGTCTTTATTCCTTTTGCTGCCTGTTTTATTTAGGCTTTTTAATGTCTGCGAGTTCCAACTGCTTGTTAGCTAAATAAGCTTGTGTTCATGTCTTAAACGTCTCTCCATAGGATCTTTGCTTCCTCGGATGAGATGGCAATGGATTCTCAGAAGCTGCTTCGAAGTGTTTGCATACTTTGCTTTCTCTTAGGCTCTTTTTTTGTGTATCAAAGCCTTTTTGCTGATTCTGGAGTAGAAGATGCAAACCCCTCTGTGACTCTGCAAGTAGATGCTTCCGACATCACCGGACGATCTATTCCTGAAACGCTCTTCGGAATATTCTTCGAGGTTTGTTTATCTCGAATCTTTGTATGGGATTGTGCTTCTTCTTCAGGGTAACTGTATATGATTATGCAGTTCCATCTTCTTTCTAATCTCATATTTTCCATGATTAACCAAAAAGTCTAGATTAATTAAATGTAGTTCTGAAAGCAATTTTCTTTCTGGTGCAATTATCTTTACAGGAGATCAACCATGCTGGGGCTGGTGGACTCTGGGCTGAACTTGTTAACAACAGAGGTCAGTTTTTTTAGCTTACCTGTGGTGAAAGCCACAACTCAGAAGAGGCTGTAGTTTTTCTTGTCGGGTCGTTTCCTAGTGAAGTTTTTTGGTTGCAGGATTTGAAGCTGGCGGGCAAAACACGCCATCCAATATCATGCCATGGTCCATCATTGGGGATCAGTCATCGATATCTGTTTCTACAGACCGCTCATCTTGTTTTGAGCGCAATAAAATCGCTCTGAGAATGGAAGTTCTCTGTGACAATGAAGGTAGCAGTAGCAGTGGAAGTGGTTGCCCATCAGGAGGAGTTGGAGTGCATAACCCGGGTTTCTGGGGCATGGTGAGCGTTAAACGATACTCATCAAAAGAATGCGTGTACGAATTTCGGATGATTCTTACCGTGTTTTTCTTCGTTTTCTCGTTCTTCCATTAGAATATCGAGGACGGAAAGAAATACAGAGTGACCCTTTACGTCCGTTCAACCGGAGACATCGATGTGTCAGTATCGTTTACAAGTTCGGATGGATCATTGATTCTTGCCTCTGGAAAGATCATGTAAGAAGAATCTTTCATATGCGTTAGTGTTTCTGCATACTTCCTGTTGTATGAATGATTGGAATATATGCATATGTATGTATATGTTGATGCAGAGCTTCGGCTTTCGAGGTTTCAAACTGGACAAAGATGGAGGTTCTTTTGGAGGCAGAAGGAACAGATCATGGTGCAAGACTTCAGCTCACAACAACCAAGAAGGGGTTAATATGGTTCGACCAAGTCTCAGCCATGCCAACGGATACTTACAAGGTTCATCAGTTCTTTACAACACGTGCCTTAAGCACCTGTAAAAAAGATTACAGACCGCAATTACAGAAAGTTATGGAAAAGTATGTTCTCTCTTTCTGGATAATTGCAGGGACATGGTTTCAGAAGCGATCTTGTTCAAATGCTTGTGGACATAAAACCCAGCTTCATCCGTTTCCCGGGTAAACATCGGATATCAATCATTCGGTTTTTGGCTGTGTTTCCCTCTTCATTTTTTAGCAGAGGCACTTCCTTGGTCCCATTATAACCAGATCTTGGCAAAATAAAGAACATGATGAAAGATTTGCTGATATGTGATCATCACCTCACACTGAATCTCTCTGGACTGAATATGGATATGGTAGGTGGTTGTTTCGTTGAGGGTGAATGGTTAAGAAACGCATTCCGGTGGAAAGACACGGTTGGACCATTGGAAGAGAGACCTGGCCATTTCGGCGACGTCTGGAAGTACTGGACAGACGATGGACTTGGCCACTTCGAGTTCTTTCAAGTTAGCTTTCCCTTTCTTTTTCCTTGGCTCTTGTGAGAAAATCCAGTCTTTGAACTGTTCCCAAGCTCGATGTCAATTGTACAACCGACAATTCTTGCAGCTCGCTGAGGATATCGGTGCAGCCCCGATATGGGTTTTCAACAATGGTAATCTTCCTTTGTCCCAAAACCTGTTTCAGCCCGGATTCCATCTCTGGTTCCTAGTGTTACTGATATATGTTTCTTCATGTTTTTGCATGTTGATAAATATTGCTGCAGGGATCAGTCACCAAGACGAAGTTGAAACTCCCAGTGTCATGCCCTTTGTTCAAGTATGCTGATGAAATCCAGTAACCCCTCCTCTTTTCAGTTAGCAAATGAGAGTTGCCCGGTAACAAACAGAAAAAAAAAACTACTTTTTTTTTTCAGGAAGCACTTGATGGTATCGAGTTTGCTCGTGGAGATCCTGATTCTACATGGGGATCTCTTCGAGCTGCAATGGGACACCCAGAACCTTTCGAACTGAAGTATGTTGCTGTCGGGAACGAAGACTGTGGGATGAAGAACTACATAGGTTGCAATGTCTCTGTTATGACATTCTAAACTTATGAGCATTGTCTGAAACTGAATGAGATATGCCTTGTCAGGAAACTACCTTAAGTTCTATGAATCCATCAAGAAGGCTTATCCAGACATCAAGATCATTTCCAACTGTGATGGATCATCTCAGCCGCTTGACCACCCTGCTGATTTCTACGATTTTCATGTAAACCCATCTTTAAAAAACATTATCTTGTGGCATTTCTATGGCTCCAAGTCCCGACGGGAAATCGCCTTTTCGTGCAGGTTTACACATCCGCTGGCAACTTGTTCTCCATGTCCAATAAATTTGATCAGACATCACGAAAAGGTCCAAAGGTACGCTGTAGATAATCCATGCTTCTTGCCTTGTATTTCTCTATTTCCTGAAATGATGCCTCGGAAATTTGCTGATTCATGAACAGGCTTTCGTTAGCGAATATGCCGTGACTGGAAAAGACGCCGGTACAGGAAGCTTGCTTGCAGCTCTTGGTGAAGCTGCTTTTCTCATCGGTCTAGAAAAGAACAGGTTTCCTGAACTTTCTTCTTGTTTTCAGATTTCATCACAAGCGAACGCACTCGCTTAACACAATTCCTCTGTCCTGTATGTATAGATGTTTATATAGCCAAGAGAGTAAACCATCTGTTCTCTTCTTTTGTTGCAGTGATGTCGTTGAAATGGCAAGCTATGCTCCTCTCTTTGTGAACACGAATGATAGACGGTATGTTCACTCAGTTGATCTTTGTTTCATTTTTCTTGTTGTCTTATATACAACATACAATCCTCGGTAATAACCAGTTCCTCTAACCGGAAGCTTCCTTGTCCTTTTTTCGTTTTTCAGATGGAACCCGGATGCAATAGTCTTCAACTCTTCCCATCTATATGGAACTCCTAGCTACTGGGTCCAACAATTCTTCACAGAGTCAAACGGCGCAACCCTTCTCAGTTCAAAGCTCAACGGAAATTCTTCTTCTCTCGTGGCATCCGCAATTTCCTGGCAAGACAATGACAAAGATTACATAAGGATAAAGGTCTATTTTCTTCCAATCTGACATCAAAGTTCTAAACTTTTCCAGAAATTTAACCTACGGGTTCTCCTTTTGAGCCAGATTGATGCGTGTATTGATGCAGGTTGTGAACTTTGGAAGCAGTCCAGTGAATCTCAAAGTGTCTGTGACCGGATTGGACCCGAACATAGTGAGAGTTTCTGGATCCAAGAAGACAGTTCTGACATCTACCGATGTCATGGACGAGAACTCCTTCACGCAGCCAAATAAGGTAAGTAACATAAAGGAGTCTCTGAAAGAAACTGATGGATTATACATCGGATCAGTCGTTCTTTCAGCTGAAAGCTCGAAGGGCTAAGCCTAAGCTGTTTCTCCGATCTATTTTCACAGGTTGTCCCGAAAGAAAGCCCGCTGGAAACGGCAGAGGAGGCCATGAGCGTTGTTCTCCCGCCACACT